TGCAACATAAACCATTGACACAGCAGCTCTTCAACACAGTTTGTCTGTCATCCAGAAGGTGTAACGATGGGAGGCATTCAAGAAAATTGAAAATACTTTCTCTATGCAATCCGAGAAACTTAGGTGTATTTAAAAAACAAAACCAAACCCAATTTCAGACTAAGAATTTTGATGACACAGCTATTTTCACACTATGTATAAACCCCACAGGATACTTTGTCATACAAGCTCCCATGATGTAAAAATTCTTCTGACCCTGAAAGGCATCCCCCAAAGGCTAAGCCTTCCAACAAAATCAATTAAAGAGAAACCAGGCCCCAAAGAAAGGCATAGGTAATATTCACCAGAAAGACACTATGTTCCTAACTCTCATAACATAATTACCATGGCTGGGACAATTACAAATGATTCATTCTGCATCATAGACTGAGTCAGGAATCATAATATGTGGAACAAAATCTTACTGAAAGAAATAAATGTTAAAAGCCTTGCAGTAATTAGTAATGTAGCACAAAATACCTAGCAGTTGAGTTAAGGTGATCCAAGGCTTTGGATGTGATGGCACAGCAAGATAGTTTCTGCAGACATTGCACTTAGGATGAAAGGGCTTGCTGCACACCATTCCAGGCAATAAAAGAGCCACTGTTTTTCAGAAGTCAACATTAAAACCAGGTAGAAAGAAGCATCTATTAAACCAGGCAGAGCAGCACATTAGCATAGAAACATTGCTTTTGGAAGCCCAGCTAGCCAGCTCTTACGTTTCGGACCACTTCAGATACCTTAAAATCACAAAGCAGCATGGGATGACTGATGTTACCTGTCAGTGTGGTGTCTTCCAAGCATCAGTAATATCCCTAATAGAGATTCCTCAGTTAAGGAAGAACTGCTGAATACGCTGGGAGTACAGCAGAGGATGATACAGCCCAGGCTATGAGAATAGGTAAAGATGAGGCACAGCTGATGACTTCTTGGGCAGAAACTCCGTACCATGCCACATTTGTGTCAGATGTGTTAAGCCACAGTTCTCAACCAGAAAAGAAAACAAATCCCAAATCAAAAACCAACAAACCAACAAAAAAACCCCAAAAAATATAACAAACAAAAACCCAACCAAAACCCAACAACCACCAAATTCAGTAGCTGAATGCCAGATTCTCCAGAGAAGTTACAAACTTTTTAGCCCTTTCAAGCCTTCTGCAAGATGTTTTACCACTGCAAGCTCAGATATTATGTATTTTTCCTGGAGTGGCTCCCATTTCACTTATAATTTTTAATGTTATTGTCCCAGTTACTAAGTAACATAAAGTTGCCATACGCATCTTTCCCTTTAAATGCTATTCCTGTGATATACTCAATACTTTAAAGCACTCAGTCAATTCATTTGGGTACATAGAAAGATCAGAGGAACAACATGTTTTATTGACACCAATATTGAAGTGCTTTAACTTCAACAAGCTGTAGTTCCATTCAGTATAGAGTGCTTATTTGTAAATCAGTGTTCCAGTCTGATTTTCATGCTAAGTAAGAAGATTATTAAAGCAAAAGAGTGTATTTTGGAGATATTAAATGTACTATGAACTAATGCAATTCCACAGAAAATGAGAACTTTTCAGAAGTAATGTGGCCACATCCAACTTCAGCTGACAGAAGGATAAGTAGCTTTTTTACATTTAAAACAGTGAAACATTTTGTCCCTTGATTGAGAATTACAGACTCCCACATTTGTAATACTTATTTTAGGCTTGCATAGCTCAGCTTTGAGTCACTGGTCAACTCATTATGATTATGCATTCACTGTTGAAGTGTTATCTATTTGCTCTACACTCTACAAGTACTCCCACAAGGAGAACTTTAATTCCCACAAAGGTATCTTTGGAGGCATTTGTAAACTTGGAATAACTACTACATACTTGTCTTTTTATCTTTTTTTTTTTCAAGTGACAGAGAAGTAGCAATGGGAATATCTAAAATGCCAAAATGTGCACTGTCAGATCCTCACAACATCGCCCTCCTTCCACCATCCTGTCTTTGTTAGGCCAGGGTAATTAATTCTTCTCATGGCTGGTAATTAAAGCCAGACCTCATGGACCTAAACACTTTGGGAAAGAAGATTAATGATAGGGTCTCTGGTTTTGGGCCCCATAAGGGTAGGGAAATCATAATGAGGAGGAGGAGGAATGTGGAGGAAAGAAGTTTGTTCTTCACAGTAATTAGAGAAAATAGCAAACACACAACTTATGGGAAATGAAGAAATGAGTAAAATGACTTTCCAAATCCTTGTCGTCTCCCTTTTTGTGAGAAATTTTTTTTTAGGACATTTCCCATTTCTTCATCTTGAGTGAACCACGAAAGAATGAAATAATTTTCTTCCTACTGTGAAGTGTGGAGGCAGCAGCCACCCAGTACGACTGAGCGCGGCTCAGCTTTGGCTGATGACTGAGTGAACCTGTATCCCAGACATGTTCAGGGCAAGGGCCACTGACCAGTGTATTCTGTGTATCTATTGTTTTATTTTAGAATCTCAAAGAAAGATTGGAAAATCTGTCTTCCAGGACACTAACTGATATAGTATTTTGTTCTTGATTTTATTATTTTTTTAAAAATAACTGTATAGGACTCATTAAAAAAATAATTAAAAATATTAGCTTTTGAGATTGCACTTCCCCACCCCCAAAAGACTCAGTGGTGAACATGGTAAAGTTTTGAAGCAAACTATTTAATACAAAATGTAAAAAATCTGATGAAGTCTACACCTGTATTAGCATTCCTAGAATCATAGCATGGTTTGGGTTGGAAAGGACCTAAAAGATCATCTAGTTCTAGCCCCCCTGACAAAGGCATGGACAAATTAAAACACTTAAATTCAGTGGAGTTAAATCTAATTTGTAGTTGGGTAACTGACATTGGAATCTAACCCAAAGAACATTTATGTACATCTCATGCCCAAGAACAGATCATAAGTGCTTGATTGCAGGATCACTGCTCTCTTTCAGCTGTTGCTGTTATTAATAATGTTTTGTGGTACTAGAACACTAAAGGGACCCTTACCTAATTAGGATCACGTTTGGCTTTGGAAGAAAAATAAATATATTGTGTAAGAAAGAGTTCGCTTTAACATGGAGAGGCAGGTAAAGTGTATTTTGAAGGAAGGAAACAAAGGACAGGGAAAGAAGAAATATAGGAAAAAAACAAAGTTCTTTTTAAGCAAAGTGCTCTTAGGAATGCACAGTGAAGTACTGGTCAGTTCTACACCTTCGTTTGGATCCCAGTTATAAATAGTCTTATAACTGAGCTGAAAAAAATAAAAATCAGTGAGTGTCTCACAATAAACGGAGAAGGCAAGTCCACGTGCCTGCTTAAAACAGCAAGCTGAATAGTTTGTTGGTCCTAATTCATAGTCTTTGAGGGAAAAAAAATAATTTGAGATTTATCTTTCATTTAAACAACTAAAATAAGCAGCCCTGGGATAGTTTCATTTAGTTCTGTTCCAGGCCATACCTATTCTATATGAACTACCCCTAAGCATTATTCAACAATGACAGAATTCATTTTAAAATGATAAGGAAGCTGTCCCATTAGGTTCTCTAATTACATAGGAACTTCTTTTATCTCCACAAACAAAAATTAATAGGAAAATTACAGAACTGGATCCTCGCCACAGGAATCTGTTCCCCTGCCTCTTCTCTCTAATGTGAGTCAGTTTTGTACTTGAATTTTTACCAAGTGTGGAAATGTATGTTAGCAATGAGATTCTGTAAACCTTCTGATTCAATGGAACTTTAGAGGTCTGGACTCCAAGTATTTAACTTAGGTTTATTGTCTCACTGCTTTTTATGGAACCTTATGTGTATTAAGCTCTGCCTAGTACGCCATGTATGTTAAGTTTCCAGCAATATTTTTTCCCTAGTTTATCACTTTTTTTACTGAAGATCACAGAAATACCAAAGTAAAACTAGTAAACCAGGAAGAGCTTACCTTTTTCAAATCTTTCCAGCAGCTTATAACAGTATCTGTGCTTCATCTCGTTATTTATTTGACTTGTGTTTCAGAGTGGACTCCAAGTTTTAGGTAATAACTTACATGTCTCAGACCTTAGAATGACAAAAAAAGGCCATTCACAAAGAGCATCTACACAAATTTTCATGTGTGTGCACACATGCATATATATCAACTAAGGAGTGAAAAAGACTTGTTATACACTCTCAAAAATGTAAAGTGTACCAGAATGGGAAACTGGTGCATATTTAACTGGTGTATATTTAAAACAATTAGCATGCAATTCAAACCTTGGCTGGAATTGAAGTGAGCTTTGGATGCCAAGACCTTAAAAGCAGATCCCTCCAAAGTGGGAAAAAGTTTATTGAAAACCAATCCAAGTGTTTAAAGGGTTAGAAATGTAAAGGCAGGCTTAGATTTTCTCTGACCTGACAGTGCTGGCTTTTGAGCCACCTTCCTAGAGTTTTCAGTATTCTTCACTGTTGTGATAGCTTGTGCAGTTTCCAGAAGGTCATGATTAATGACATAGGCTGGATTTACGGACAAACACGCAGAGTCCAGAATTACAACTCTAGAGTTGATAAGAGTCTAATTAGCATTTTAGAGGCTGTGGAACAGTAAAAATTAGAGTCTCTCCTGGTAATGGAAGAAGGCCTGAATCTTTTCTGAAGGAACTTGTCCTATACTTCTGGAACAGGAAGAGCCATCAGAACAGACCTAATGCTTAAGAAACAGCATGGGAAAAGTTCAAAGTCTCATTTGGACCTATGCATCTCATGAGAAAGATCTGAGACTGTAAAGATGAATGTAATAACTGGCAAGAGAAATAATATAAGTAAAAATTTTCCATGGCAGAGAGTTAAGAATTAATTATTTCTATAATGTAGGGTTGAGCATATGTGATTGTTCATATACAAGTAAATAACGCCCATAAATATACTAGTCATCTTGACTAAACTAAAAGGTAAGTAAATATTTATTTAAAACAACTTTGGTACAGGAATTATATTTATGATAGAGTTGTCTGGATTTCTGTTCATGCACCTTTTTATTTTTGGTTTTCTCCTGATACTCCAGTGTAGAATGGTCCAAAATTCAGAGCGTTTTCATTCCTATTGTTTCGTGTTTTTGAGGATTACTATTGCAGAAAGAGAAAAGAATGTATGATCATTAGTGATGGGTAGGAAAACAAGTGTTAATACTCAGTCCTAACTAATCTGACCATGAAGGAAGCAGAAATGTACATTTGTCTAGAGGATGCAGTTCATATTTTGTTGACGGACAGAAATAAGAGAAAACTTAGGGGGGGAAAGAAGGAGGAATAAATGGCTATAAGAACCAAAATCTTCCAGTTCCTTTTCCAAGTCTGACCCAGCTCATGTATGCATTTGCCTGGCTAAAGACTAAGTTCAAAAATAGCTCTGAACTTTTAGCAAGTGTGTAACTGTATTGTACAAGATAGGACCTACGTTCTTCAAGTTAAATAAACATAATGAACAGACACGAGTTATATCCTAAAAGTCTAGGTTTTCTTCATATTTTTTAAATGTTAGGAGGATAAAGTGGATTTGTGAGCTTTTAATCACCTTTGTTGTAAGCTTGTCTCTTCAAGGGGCTTCCAGAGCAAAGCAAGTCACAGCCTGATTGATCATTTTTAAAAGGGATTCCATTGGCCACACATGCACTCAAAGCAGAGTCTTTTATATTTTCTGTGACAAAAGTAATCTTCGTTAGGTTCACAAGGTGAATATAGAAAAAAAACCTAAGAGAATGAGAACTAGAAGAAACTTGCATTTCCCATTCTCAGGCTTACAGTACAGTGTTTCCCACTTTCAGCCATATGGGAATTCCTCTCCCACAAAAATAATTGAGTAACCAAACCTTTTTACTCTTCTTTTCTCAAGAGATATGAAGCAACTAGAAGCAGTCAGAAGTGCTGGATAGTCCTAAGAAAACTCCATGGAAAACAAAAACAAGCCCCCAAAACTTTACATAAATCTGAGTCATCCTCATTGACTTTGTTGTTTACTGCTGAATTCTGTTTTTAAAACAGCAATAACAAGGAAGAAATTTACAGTTATTTAAACACTGTGGACAGGCTTTGCTAAGCTGCAGTGCCTTAGCTACTGATAAAACAAATTAGCATCAGAGTAAGAATAGGACAAGATAGTGCTATGACAGAAATAATATAAGAAATAATAAGAACCCAGGTGTACATAATTAAGATTGTAATTCAAGCAAAGGGTTCTGGTGACATCATTTATCAATGTCACTACAAACTCTCAATGGAATTACAGCTTTGTATGTAGGATTCAGATATATGTGATTTGTTAGAATACATGAGGAATGTTTCTATTAAAAGTAGACAGACAATATGTTAACCTCAAGTAGTGGTGGTGACAGGATGAGGTACAAAGAAAAAAGGTTTTTTTCTTATTCTATCAAAGGAAGAAGGATGAAAAATAGTATTTTTAAGATATTTGGAAATTAAATTTGTTTAAAATACTGGCTAGGGATTTTTTCCCCTGAAAATCAGAAAAAGTTTTGGTTCTACTGTGATTCAACACTTCAATAAAAACCAGAGTTCTACTGAAAAAGTGAACAAAGGGAAAGCCAAAACTAGTGATTTTTCCATCTCATTGTATAGCATAAAATCACTTTAAAATAAGCTCAAGAAAAAAATTTCCATTAAAAGGATGGTATAAAATATTTACAATTAAACACACTGTAAAGTTAGTAGTAAATTATTAATTGCAAATTAACTCATTTTTAGGAGGAAAAAAGAGTGAACATTGATGCTTTTAAATACACATGCTGAAAGGAGATTATAATCTTCACTCTTTCTGATTCTGGTTTTGTTTATTTTTATAGCCAGAATACTTTTATAAAGATAATTATGAAACAGAGGCTCCACTGTCTGTGTGAATTTTAAGGGCCTTAAATGAACTTAAAAGGCTAATTAATATAAAATAACATTCTTAAATTAGGCCCCTAAATATAATTTAATGCCGAACTAGATACCTTGTGGATTTCTCAGCCTTGCTCAAGCGTCCACAGACCTTGCACATTAAAAGTGAATAGCATCTCCTTGAGAAGGTATCACTTAGTAAACAGTGACGCCTCCCAGAAATACAGTGCAGAATTATGTGAGACTTGAGTACTGACTGATTACAGAGAAAGATCCTAACCAATGCAGTGAGGAAAAGATTTCCTTTGACTTGATAAACTTAGCACTAAATCTCACCTGCATGAAGTGCCTACAGCTATGGGTATAAAAATTCTTGAAATTGTTCAAGGCACTGTGTGGATTTTTCAGTTTTGGTCACTTTCTGAAGTACTCTAATTGAAACCCATAAATAGGATTCATTTTTAAGTGTACAGCAAAACTTGTGATACTCTTGAATACAATCTGAAATGTGTTTATGGATTCTATATGATCACTGATAATATCAGCAATTTTCAAATTTTGCCATTTGTAGGCTGCAAAACTACCTCAGAAGATAATGTATTCTCTAAAACTTTCGGAAAATACTGACTGATGTAATAAAGTCATGGGGGTTTTAGTTCTCATTATAGAATTGTGGGGTTTTAGTTCTCTGTTGCTCAAGTGCATAACTTTTGTGAAAACTGAAATGCACAAAGACTTGGGAACTTATGGAACAATAGCACTTCTACTCCAAGTTCACAAGTCTTGAAAGTTTAGCTTTGTACTTGATGCTTGAAGAGAACGGCTTGAACAAGTAGTAGTTTTGACCTTGAGTAACTTAATTTGGAAAGGAAATTTGGCCAAACTAGCTCAATGCAGGACTTCTCATCAAGGATTAATGCAGAGGATCAATATGAACTTTTTATAGCAGACTATTTTTGAAAGAGGACAACAAAAGGTTAGAATACTTTAAAACTTGAAAAAGCAAATTAGTATACTTAAAGTGGGCAGAATGGAAATGTAAAAAGCAAGGATCTTGATTTCATGCCAGTATTTAGTAATACAATACAACTAAAATATAGAGAAAACTGACTTTAAAATGATATTTTTGTATCTTGGTGCAACCATAGCTGAGCTTATAAGCATTTGTCTATCCTGTCTTCTCATCTCTTCATGGTGGTACTGAATGGCAAACACTCATGATTGCAATTGACTGATGTTACTGTCATAATTTTTCTATTTTCTACAGGGTCAAAATTGCATATGAACATATGTCTTTATTTGAAAGTTTAAAGACTTAATTACCTCCTAAACAAAAGAGTAACGAAAAACACATAAACACAGCTCTTCTTTAAGTTCCTGTACACACAAATCTCACTCCTGGAAGCATAAGAGCTCCTGTAATAGGGAATCAGGCCCTTTAATAGCTCTGTCACTAGAAGAAGATATTTATGCACAACCTTATGTTACCTTAACAAAGGACCTAAAGGACAGATTGATCCCACTTACTGTCCCCATCACTGTCTGCTCTCCCCTTGTCTCTCCCTTAACTACAAATCAAACTATAATATGGCTTCTTAGCACAACTCAAACCTGACATTTTTCTCTCCTGTCATATGGCAGACTCGCAAGACCTTACTATGCACATTTATGTTCAGAGAAGTTTGTGACCTAGAGGAAGCTCCATGAGCACTGGGGCTGTTTATGAGGTTTAGCAGGTATCTTCAGCTACCCAAATGGAATTCCAGCTAACCGAATGGAATGGCTATTCCAGCCACCCATCTGTGACAGATTCCAGTACATTTCAATCCATTTCAGAATACCATTAAAAGGCTGGTTAAATCTTTGTGGATCACACGAAATGTGTTTTAAGAAACATTGTACAAGCTTTACACAGAAGTAAAAATTTTCTAGTATGATGATTTAAATCAGGGTCTCAAAATTTTCTGTTTCTGACTCTTGTTAAGCCAACTATTCAAGTAGTTTCTTCTTCATAGGCTTCTCCAGTCTTCACCTGTGGTCTTTGGAAGCAGAGCAAGCTAAGTTCCTGAAAAGCAGCAAACAGTTTTGCCAGATAAGGTACCTTCTTGAGATCTTCCTCTCCTCTTTCCCTTACTTTGAGTTTTTTCCTGAGGATGAGGCAATGGCATCAACTTCTTAATTCACTTTTCAGTTCAGAGAAAAATTTAGAAAAAAAAGTTATTTGTAGGACATGGTTTTCTCGGCCCTGAAATTTCAGTTTTTCCTTGTTCTTCTTTTCTCATTCATTTCTGTCTTTTGTAATTTCTGTGTTTCTTCTCTCTGGACCATAGTTCGTGTCTTCCCTCTCCTTGAAGCTGACTGTATCTTTAAAGAGAGGTGAGGATGCTTTAGGCGATGGAGAAAGACCATGATTGTTTTTCTCCAAACCTCTACATTCTGGTTTGGAAATTAATTGGGAGTTAGTGATATTTTCAGTAATGGCTGGTTGATACACTGTTTTCAAACGTGAGCTCTGCTTTCAACAGCAGAACGATAAAGATGTGATGCTTAATAATGAAGAACAGCATTTTTTATTTTACAAAACAAGCCTCTCAGCTTCAGTGGTGTTATTCATGAATAACACCTTGTGCATATGCATTATGAGACAGTGCTTAATTGAATGATTGCATAATATGTTGTTCCACAGAATAAAATATGAAATATTCATTAGGCCAGAGAGGGAGTTAGAATGCCTGGTGGTTAAATCACTCACTAGGGAAATCCAGCTCCTACTCCTTTCTCCAAGTGAATGTGTAAGTAGTTTATACAAAAAGGTTTTAAAAGCAACTAGGATTTTTTTCCCAAAATCTACTGTACTCTCATGGCTAGTGTACTATCCCAACAGGCAGGATTATGGTCTGACTGGGGCATGGAAAGACAGTTAAACATAGATCACCTACATCCTTTCATGCAGTTAAAGTGGTCAGATACGCTTTAACCACTAGGCAGCTGGGTTTAATGGAACCAAAATCTCCCCATAGATTTTATTTTTCAGGAAATTATTGTCTTGGTATAGGTGCCTCATTCAGGAAAGGGTTTCCAGATGTGACTCCAGAGTGGAAGGAAGCACTTTATTGCAGTTTAAATCCACACTCAGTTAACATGAGGGACATGGTGTATGCAACCAGTGTATATCCTTAGCTTAAAGTGGAGGGCTCTCCACTCACTTTTGGATGCTTTTGAGTCAACTGCTAAGAACCCAACTCACCTCATGCCTTACACTGGGAAACAGGATGGTGGTAGGATACTGAAAATGTCACAATAGCCTGTAGTTCAACACCTGAATCCCATTGCAGATTTAGCCTTTGCCAATCTGTGAGGTGGAAAGATCTTCAGGAGACAGGTTTAGGCAAAGTAATACCTAAAACAGTGCCCTCAAAAAAATTAAACTGATCTCATAATAGTTGCATCTATTGGAATCATGAGAAAGCTTATTGCAACAATACTGGACAAGAAGCTTGAAATAGATAAAATTAGGAGGAAAATAATTATACTTAAATAAAATTATTTAAAAAATAATTTACATCTCAGAGAACAGTTGGCTCTGTCAGAAGATATGTATATGTTTTATGAGTTACTAGTAAATAGCGATAAAAAAAATGCTTTTGATTTTGTGTAGGGTATCACAGAGAGGCATTCTCCTGGCATATTTATTTTTGCATTTATTCAGGAAAAAAGAGAAAGTGAGATTGGGGAAATAACACACTCAGGGGAGACAGAATAAGTCAGAATAAATAAATATGCCCCAAACAATAACAGAAGCAAATGTGGCACCAAATATCACTGATAGACAAAGAATACATTAATTCAGCATTGCAAATTACTTTTGCTTAAGGCAGATGTACTTGGTATACCCTCTTAATTATTGCTCTTCTCATCAGTTTGCAACTCAAAGTACATTGATATGATTATACAAAGCTCTATGAACAAGAGAAAGCTTCTGAATCAAAACAAGAGAGGGGTTTTTTTTTAAAGCTTGCATTGTAGCAGATGTCTTGTGCACTGTCCATCTAGAGAACCCATTCCACATCTTTCAGAGGCTCTGAAAGCAGCCCGGGTCAACAGAAACTTCAATTTTTATATATCATCTCTTTTCAACTTGCTTTCTCTTTGGACCCTCAGCTTCTCCTCAAGCATGCAGAAGACAGGAGGAGGTGACTGGTGAAACAGAGGGTTTGGTTTCTTGGCTCCTGTTCATACACAGAGTGGCTTTGCTCGAGGACATTCTACTTGTATATATATACATATGCAGCTATAACTCTAGAGATCTCTCTCTCAGTACCTGACTAGTCCTAGAAGCTGCTGTAAGAAGGCAGGGAACATATGACACTTGTAGTGTGTTTATCTGCTATCGTGTGTCCAAAGGATTAGAGATCTGCTAACATCTGTCAGTCATACCAGTAGCACTAAGTTTGAGAGTCTGTGATGTCTCCCATCATTACCCAGGGGCTAGGAGTCTAACTCACTGGTCTTTTATTCTGCACCGTGCTCCATGCACTGATGAGCTAGAACGTTATTAAGTAGATTTCTGTCTAAATCCACCTTTTATTGAAAAGTCCAGGTTGTTTCAGCAGATCAAACCTAGAGATATGCAGGTTATAAAAGTGCATGAATATGGATCAATATATGTGGACTGGCTTAAGTTCAAGGTTTTATGACAGCAATCACCATAGTGAACTTCCCTTCAACTTAAGAGTTCATAAGAGGACAAGAGTTTGCTACCTTCATATTCTTTTCACTAGTGAATTTGGGATACTGTCAACAAATGAGAAATAGTGAATTGCCCTCTCTATTCACTGCTGCATTTAGTTAGTTCAGCTGGAGACTAGGTTAAATTCTCACTAAAACTGTTAGTATTGTTAAGATCATAAAGATAACTACAGTATTAAAAAATATAAACTAGAGATATAGTGCCTTTAACATTTTGGGAAGTCACTTTGAAATTGATACTTTCTCATCAGCTGTGTTTTAAGTAATGAGCAGACCACTTTTCTTCTTAGGGATGAAACAAGAAACAGGGTACTTAGTTTTGGAGAGGTCCCGATTTATCTTTTTTTTCCCCCATACTTAAAGTGGGAGAGTAGGTCTACAGCCAGCCATAACAGCCATTTAACATAGCTTGATATATTATGAAGCAAGTAAAGTTTCAAATTTACATAAGTGGTAGTAATTTGATTTTTACAATTAGTGAAAAACAAGATAAATATTTTTCAAATCAATCAAAGAGGGAAAGAGATAGAGACTGGGAGAATTTGCCAGCAAGGAGCCTATTCATGTACAGTTGGCTTCTCAAAACTTGATTTCTGCTAGAAATTTTGTCAACATGCAAAACATCTAGAAGTGTGTAAGCATGAATAATTTCATTCTTCTTTCCTAACTGGAGAAATCTGTCCTAAAATTTTACAAATTTCCATTTTTTGTCTTTATTTGTTGGGAATACAAGGCAATCTGTGATTGTTTTCTTTTGCATTAGTATTGATCATCATTATTTTAGGAATATATCAGCTTAAGAGAAACTTTATGAGAGATTTAAGTAAGTCTGAGGGTGGCATAGTTGCAGAGTTTCTGAAGAATTGGCCAAATGCAATTCAGGTAGATCCTTGACTTATCTGGAATTCAGGCATTTGAAAAAAATGAAGAAAAGCTGCCCTTGCATCTCACAATTCCTGTGCTTCTTAGAATATTGTCTTAAAAAATGAAGGTGAGGAAATAAATTTCTGTATTATAATAACATAAGAGTTTTTCAATCAAACTATTCAGATGTGACAAGGATAGAGGTCAACTGATACCATGCTACTGTTGCTTCTCATGGAAGGCAGTTAAATCATAAAAAATATTTAATTTCATGTCAATGTCAGAGAACATGTTCTACAGCCATTGCCTTAATAAACTGGGTTCTTCATTTCACATGGATATTAAAGCATCTGAAGCAGACATGGCAGCAGGAACACGGAAGACTGTGGTTGTGACTGATAATATCTGAGTTGACACATGAGTATGGAGGGGACATTTTCAGTAATATCCATGTTCAGCCTATTTTTCAGAATATGTCAGACTTCTCTGGCTAACTGTGTGCACTTGGCTTGCATCAGGAATCTAGTTTTTCTGGAAGTTCATCAGTTACCTTTCAGGTAAGCGTTAGCCCAACCAAAGAGGCATAACTCTGATTCATTCAGAATGAGGAAAAGGCCATATGAATGGATCAAGACAAATAACGATAAAACAAACAGAGGGAAAAATAATGGCAGAATTTAGATTAGGACAAGAGGTCATAAGTACAGCCTGATCATATTACAGTAAAATGACTGATTTCAGGACACCACACCAGAAAGTTTAGGTGATCACAGGAGGAACTTGGCTGATTTATAAATTAACTGAAGAGAAAAATCAGGTAACTATTCATTTGAAGTGTGCTTTCAATATTTTCAAGTGTTCTATTCAAATTTCTTACTTCAAAAAGGAATATGATGTTATCCGCTCTAATGGAAGCAATTATTGACAATGTGAGAATTTGGCCAGGGTAGAAAAGTTGTTGCCTCACTGCAGCAAATTTCCAGTGAAGGTAATTATTGACTAAGGATTTGACTTCATGATAAAATGTAAACAGGAGTGAGAAGGGAACAGAGGACTAG